TAATAAATTGTTTATAAACGTTATTGTACTTGTCAGTAGTTCCTCAGTTGTTTCATACTGGTGCATTTGTCTGGTAATCTCTTCATTCATTTTGTCATAATCAGTTTTTAATTTACACAAGTGACTGTTTTCTTCCTGTTTTATTATTTTTATTAATTTCTCAATATTTTCCTGTGAATGTTTCTTTATCTGTTGTTTTTGATGCAAATGTTGTTTTGATAATTCTTCAGTACGTTTTGCTGCATTTATTTGGCTTTGATTTGCTTCACTTTGTTTTACTTTCAAGAGTTTTATGTGATCTGTAGCCATCTGAAAGAATATATCTGCCGCCCCGTGTATGTCAATCACTGTATGACCTTTGTGATTTGACCTCAAACATAAATGACAGATTGGTACTTGGCATTTCTCACAGTAAAGTTCAGTAAGTTTGTCTTGATGAGAAGTACAACAAACAGAAACCAATGTTATCGACTTGTCCCGTAATTTGGCCTTTTCAAGTTCTTCAACAGTCATAATACGATGATGTCGACTCACTGGCATTTTACTGTGGACTTTGGTGCACGTTGTACAGAAATCCATAGCACAGTCTACACACCGATTTGTTGATGAGTTTTCTTCACAACCATGGCATGTTTTATCGCCTCGATGCCTTTTCTGTTCTTCAATAATGTCTATGACAGAATTAATTATCGTACTTGGTGGAAGTTCTCGAATATTACTCACAGAAAGGTGTTCTCTGCAGTTTGGGCATTTAATCGTGCTACGTGGTCCCTTCAACTTCATCAAACACTGTTCACAGAAAGTATGATGACATGGTAAAATCTTTGGATTCTTGTAACGTTCCAAACAAACAGAACATGTCAGTAGATCTTCATCAATCTTTTCGACAGATATTTTAGCTGCCATGCTTCACAGTGATTCGTGGTTCGAGAAAGATTCCGAAATATGACAACAAACTGACTGAACGTGCCAACAAATAAATCAGCATACTTCCTCATCTCTAATAACGACCGAAGAGGGCGCTCAGTTGAACTTACCCGGCGGAACTGTTTTACTGAAGGACGGTTAGTTATCGCCAACATTTCCGTATAAAGCAATACAGTTACAGAGATTGTTGTGTTTTGAGAAAAAGCTGAATGAGACATTTCACCCAAGAAATCACTATCTTTGATATACCATAATTCTTACCTTGTTGTGTTTACCTTGTCATTAACTGTACATAGTTTGGGCAGTTATTCGATATTAAAAATCAAAAATTCATTTTTGCCTGTAAGTAATAAAAGAAAGGTAAGAAATATAAAAAAACATAAAGGTAAAATAACATAAGATCGGGCAGAAATAACAATGCAGTTTGTGTTTTTTAAAACACTTTCAGATACCGTGTCACGTGTCTAATTAGTTGGTTAGTATTAATAAGGATAATGTACTTATTGATATTGTTTTCAGACTAGAAAGTGGGGTTTACTTTGGTAAATTCAGTGTACATAGTATACCTTTCATTGCTGTAATAGCAACAGTCATACACTTATCACAAATCCTGTTCTTTAAAGGGATTTTAGATCTATTATGTCTGCCTTATTCTATTTAGAGTTTGTGACAACTAAGTCTTAATTGAGACATTAATTTGATATCTTGTCATGATTTAAATATTAGATATTAGACAATATTGTCTATTATATTATAGCAGTATATTGGTGGTGTTAATCCATCGATTTGATTGGTCCAAACACAAAATTTGCATATGTAATTATTGGTATATTGGCTGATAATGCATAGTCACGCTAAACAAAGTGGCCCTGGAACATGAGTTGACTTAATGCGAAAATACATAAAACCGGTAATATTTGATTTTCGAAAAAAATAATGGAGAAAATACCGAATTAAAACATCTGAAAATTATATAACCATATTATTGCTTTTTATTTATGGCGAGATCCAAGTTGTGAGTGTCGCGATCGGTCGTTGGGTGATCGTCGTTCGTCACACAAACCTAACGAACGCCAGAACGCTGTGTTTACTTGTAAAACATGTCTTGTCCTATGTGTTGTGACTTTGAAATGGATTGCAAACCTCCAACAAAGAAAAAACGATTTTTAAGTTTAACTGGTGACCAACTAGATGAGATTGAGGGATTGAAGGACGAAAAATACAGAAAAAGCAAACAGGGTGGGAAATAAACATTATGAAAGGTGAGTGTCTTGTTTTGATTTCATTTCGCCGGTAAGACTATGCTGTTTACAATACGGTTTTCAATTTTACTGAAATGCTGTTTCCCATTTTTTTCAACAGACTGGCTAAGATCAACTGGGAAGAACCTATAAATAAACAAGCCATGCATGACACAGTCCTCGTTAGTTATCGAATTTAAGATATATAGTTTTGTTTATAGTAATATAGCTGGAATATAATCATATCAGGAATATAATTATGATGATTGTTTAATATTAAAATGATTGACATTTGTATCTGATCATCAAACAAATACTTGTCCATATTGAGAGATAATGCTCTGGAACAGCATTAATTAAAACAAAATCAGCCATTTTGATGTATAATGAATATTTCAAATTTGAACATAATCAGTCAATGCAAGTCAGAGATATGGGTCTAGAAGCCCATGTATTGAAACAAAATGGCCGCCAGTCAGCCATTTTGAATCTGATCTGAATTAAATGATATATCTGTATATCTATGACATAATGCATAATGAATATTTAAAATTTGTACATAATCAGTCAAAGCAAGTCAGAGATATGGCACGAGAACCACATTCATTGAAACAAAAAGACCGCCAGTCGGCCATTTTTGAACTTATCCGAAAAACAAAATTATTTGCATCAATATCCCATAATGTCTAATGTATATACAAAGTTTGAACAAAACCCATCTGTAAACAGCCGCAAAATGCTTGATTTCGATGATATTTTAGCACAAAAATGGCCAGCCATTCGGCCATCTTGAATCAAATCGTAAAAAAAATTGATGTGCATATGTATAATATCATGTATGATGTATGTGTGAAGTTTGATTATGGTTGACGTAGGTATTTCAGAGAGACGCATGCACGGACGGACTGAAGCACGGACGCACGAACGCACAAGGGTCAAAACATTAGTCCCCGTTTTCGGACTGCGTCCAAACGGGGACAAATTAATGACGTAATGCTCATTTATAATTAACGCTATTAAATTGTCACTGTGTTGCAAATAGTTAGCACAGCAAGAAAACATTTTAAACAAACAGAGTAATACTATTCATACTTACACTTGGCATAGGGGCATACCCTGGAATCCTTCATGTGTCTCTGTTGAAATGAACCTCGGGCCATGTAAACAAATTATAATGATTCAATTATTCAGTGCCTAAAAGGGAGAGGGCAAAAAAATTGTGTTGCTTTTTCAAATCAACAGGTGTTTTTTTTTTAAGTCCTATTTATTTGTGCTTAAATTATTTTCATTTCTAATATCGGCTACATGTAAAACCAAAAGACAAAAATATTTTTGCAAACTTATTCTTCCTTATTTCATAGTAAAATATAGACTTACATTCAGTATGTACACCTGCAGTCACCTACAGTTTAACTATGATAGCACCTTTTGATAGCACCACGTGATGATGGCTGATTCTAAACCAATCATAATTATTCTTTTATTAGCCCCTCCACAACACTGGTATAAACCTATGACCCAAAAAACACTAAATCACTGTGTGACCTCTGACCTTCTGAATACATAGTATATTCTTAAGTAGGTATGTATGACAGGACAAGAATGCAACTAATTCAATGAGATCACAACAATAAAAGGCAATGACATACACCAAATAGTTTGTAATTCTTTACACCTCCATGTACTATATAGATGTTAAAGTTGCATCTGTATGGTTCACTGTCCAATATATACACTATGAATTCTTGATTGTGAGTAATTGAAAATTAACTGTAGAGTATTTCTTGAATTTAGTTCGATTTGTAAACAATATACACAAAGTTAGGAGGCCCTGTTTGTCCCCGAAGTTCAGTTACATTGCAAATATTTTTAATGGTTTGAACCCCCAGTACTCTCCAAAAATGTAAGTGCAGGGTACCTACTTCTAATAATTCACATTTTTTATTAAAAAATATGTATTTTTTTTTTCTTGTTCTTAAAGTAGTGTTACGCTTAAAGAGAGTGCTAACATGAGGTTTCAATTTAAATCGCTTTAAATGATGTATTTTTTCTGAGTTGTCGCATTGAACACAACAATATGTCCCAACTGTGGCACCTTAATAATTAAATCTGTCTCAGAGGAATTACAGTTACTATGGCAATCCCCTTGCATATGTAAATATACACAAAATAAT